ACTTACTCAAGGTATTGCTTCGATTAATAAATGGAGGGCGACGAAAGAGAATCCGGTCATATAGAATGCATACAGAGAGAGAGAGAGAGAGAGAGAGAGAGAGAGAGAGAGAGAGAGAGAGACTTGGGCAGCAAGGCCCCGGTGTGTCTTTCTCGTTGATCGGATAAAAAAAAAAAAAAAAAACGTCGTTCGACTACCGGGATTTTCTCGCAAGACCCAAGAGCAGCGGATAGAAAAGAGTCGACCGTGCGCACCTCGACGGAAACTCGATCACGCAGTGGAAAAAAGGTCACGAAAGGTAATCCTCAGAGCATCGAGCAAAAGAGTAAGGATAATCGGAAGCGGGGCCTCGACATCTGTCTCCTACCTCTCCCGGAGTTCGCGCGCGTGTCCTCATCTCCTCAGCGCGTGCATACGGCTATTCATTATCTTTCGCTCTTCGAAGATCCCGAAAAGGGATCGCTCGTTCTTTTTTTCCTTGCATTCGGCACTCGGTCCACGGCGACGATGAACATCTGCGGCAGCTGCGAGGCGGCGCGCGCCGGGCAGGTGTTCCTCTCCTTTTCCTCCTCCTCCTCCTCCTCCCCCTCATCATCCTCCCCCTCCTCGTCCTCCCCCTCCTCGCCCCCCTACTTCACCTCATTCTCATCCTCCTCCATCGACTTCTGCTCCTTCTCGGGCACAAATAAGAAGGTTGCTGCTGCTGCACTGGTGGCTGTCCTTCTCCCCTCCCACTCTCACTCTTTATCCCTCTCTCCCGCCCACCTCTCTCTCCTCTCTATCTCTCTCTCTCTCTCTCTCTCTCTCTCTCTCTCTCTCTCTCTCTGACACACACACATACACTCCCTACAGCTCTTACGCGCTCCCTCTTTCACGCACTCACTCCATCTATCCGGCCTCCCTTCTATTTTTTCTCTTTCTCTTGCCTGCCAATTACGCGTGCCTCTTTCTGCCTCGGGCTTCTCTCTTTTTTTGTTGGATCTTACTCCCTGTCCTTCGTTTTCTTTATCTGCGGCGTTGCACTGCTGCCGCCAAGTCGGGATAATTTTGTCTCTTCCGTGTTCCAAAGCCAAAAGACTT